ATTCCCACCGTCGCCTGCCAACCGGTTGCCCTGTGTCGATTGTACTGTGATAGATAGAAACATACAAGTAGGAAATCGTAAGTGTACTTTGTCTGGCAGTTCATGTCGCCCGTTCATCTCGTGGAGCTGCGGCTCGATGCGCCCCTCTCGTCGACGAGTTCCGCCGATGCGCCCAGCAGGTCCACGTGGTGCTGCTGGTCTGGATCGATTCTGCTGATGTTGTGTTGTGGCACGTAACCGAAACTTGTCGGTCGATCGTCGGGAGATCCGCTCAAGTCGATTTGGCTGAGATCGCTAGCATCCATCGACGAGCCCGAGAGGCGTCGTCGTTGCGATTCCGTCCTTGTAAAGGGCAGTCGATTGGGAGATGTATCGACTGCTGCCCGTTGTGCCTGGCCACGCGACGGCGATGTCGGCGGGACCAGGTTAAAGGAGGGCGTGGGGGAGTGGTCGAACTCGGCCTGCGAGTGGCGTTTCGAGCTTTTCCGGGGGATGTCGGGCGTCTCAGACTCAGGGCCGACGACTCCAAGGTTCCTCGGCCTCTGTCTCTGTGATGGCTGTCGGCTAGCTTGCGACGGGATTCGGCTGGGCAGGTGGAAACTGTCGCCGTAATCTAGCCCTGGCAGCGCAGGAGGCGCATCTGGTACCCTCGATCGGTCCGACACCGTCTCCTCCGAGCTTCGTCGCCCCTCGTCTCCCGTCAACAAGTCGTCTTGTGGCGCAGCAGCCTTCGTCGGTGTGTTCTTCTGATCCTTCGTCGGTGCAGCAGCAGCACGACCATCATCGTCATCATCATCATCAGAATCGATGGGTCCGTTCCTCAGTACCCCCATGGCCACTGGAATTCCTTCAGGGGGAGGATTGTCACTAAACTCGCCACCGGGAGCACGCATCGAAGTTGGCATGCGTGCGCTGCGGACAACCTCGAATCCTTTGCCCTTCTCTTTGTCTTGCGCCGAGCATCGTCTGAGCCAGCAGCTGCAGAGCATGGGACCAGTCGGTCGCAGCCCGTACGAGTCTGCGACTGAGCTCGAGTCAGGCGCTGACGCGACGCGTAGTAGAATCGACTCTCGTGTGCATAGTCGCACGTGAGCAGGCTGATGGGGGACCTGAATGGGGGACGCACCAGGCTCTGCCTGGTCCGCAGGGCAGGGCATCTTCCCAGGTCGCCGCCATCAGCTGGCTGTGGCGCAAGCTGACTATATCGTCTCGAGTCAGCAATGGAAACGCGGCGTCTGTCCGACATGATGGAGCCCGTCAGTGTGTCGCCGCGACGCCGAGGCGGCCGATAGTAGGGGTCCGAGGGGTCAGCAATCATAGCCGGCTGAGGGCGGGTGGCTCCGCCGGGCGAGGGTAGGAACGAAAAGGTGCTGGCCTCGCCAGGAGTCGTCGGCGTGAAGTTGCTGCCGCTATCAAAGTTGCGAGGCGGCGCCGAGTACGTGTCGATGCTATCAAGAACCGAAGAGCTTCTCTGTTGGCTCCTCAGGAGGAACGCGCTCCCCTGGGATTCACTTCGCACTCTCCCTGCGGGCATGTAGCCCGCTTTTGGACACTTCGTCGGGCATCGAGCATGGCGGGTGCTCGAAAGCGTGCTTTGGCGAGACGGCCCCGTTGCGACGAGCCATTGTACGTCGCTGCAGTTGGCGCATGCCGAAAGATCTTGGGCTAGTCCACCTCTGGGCCAGGCCACTCTCGCCACCGGCGCCAGGCAGACCGGGGGATGACTTCGACGCACGTCTGAGGGGCATTCAAGAAAGAACCCGAGAACAATGATGCCGGGCGTGAATAATCAAAAATGACGTAGCCGATCCAACCCTTGGGGGCCTTCCTGTGACTCCCGAGCTCCAGGGATGAGGGGAACCCATGAGGCATGACGGTGATGAACCTCACGACGGAGAACATGGTATGGTAGGCGTTCATGAATGTTGCAGGAGGGAAGGGACGAAATGCGTGTAGGGGCAAGACTTGCACCACCCTCACAGATGGCGAGCAAGACAATCTGAGGCGATGCCAAAGGGTTGCCCCGGCACCAATCGCGATGCCCTCGGAAAAAAGGTCAGCATGATGGGAACCAAGGCAAACGTTGCCGACCTCCGTCCGGAATACGTGTTGTAGAGTGGCCCGTAGAGGAAGCACGGTTGGGAGATCGTCAAGAGGACCGCCCTTCGGCTTCGTAGTGGATGATCAGGTAGAGCAGCCAGCAGGTGAACCCGATCAGGATGACCAACGTGAGGACAGCCAAGGCGACGGCAAAGTTGGCTGATTCGCCGGCAACGACGAGCTGAAAGGTGGAGAGCGCTACGATGGGCAGCAAGAAGAAGTTGAAGACGACTCGGACAACGTTGCCTATCGAGAACGGCAAGTTTTTCGCGCGCAGGTCCTCCTCAGTCGTGCTGCTGATCAGTCGGTAGATCCAAAGAACGAAAAAGCCTATCTGGATGAGCACGAGGACGGAGGCAATGATGACCAGCAGCCAGACCATCATGCCTACCCAGATATCCTCGACATCACCCATACCGACCAGGTGCGCAAAGCGCTCCAGACCATGATGGCCTTCTGTAACGTAGATGCCGTCTTGAATAGCTGGCCAGCCGGGAGACTTGTCTACAAAACTCTCATTAAACATCAAGGCTGACCAGCTCGCTTGGCTGACGATGGGCTGGTAGAAGCCAGGGTAACTCAGAGTGAGTGATCCGGTGAGAACGACAAACTGGATATACTGCAGGCAGTCGCCGAAGCCAGGCGTGACAAGACGCAGCAAGTCCTGATCCCGCCCAAAGTTTGAGGTCCACCGCAAAACGTCAGTGGTGCCCCAGGGGCTGTACATGCTCGCCAAAACGGTAGCGAAGCCGACGAACAACAGAATGGCAAAGGGCATCCATTTGATCAAGCCGGCCAGGTGGCCGAGATCCGGGGTGATGGTCGCAGAGACACAACCAATGTCAGTAGCGGCAACGTCACCGTAAATAACGAGGAAGGTCGCGGAGAAGGATGCAAAGGCATAGGAGGAGAAGAAGTCATGGCTGATGTTGACAGAGGGCAATTCGTAATGATTTGTCCTAGGAGGCACACGTGTCAGCGGCGGCCCGAGGCGAGCTGCAAGCACAGCATGGTGTTCGATAGCCAATAACTTACACATCAGTCTGGTTGAAGACGGGCGCCAGGGGACAGGAGGCGTTCACGAGCTTGTCGTTACAAAAGTCTTCACGAGCGCCAAAGGGTTGGTATGTGAGCATCTCGACCTGCGTCTTGAGCGCCGTGACCTTGGCGTTGGGTTCGTTGGGAAGCCGGACAATCTTGCCCTCAGTCTCTGTGGGATCTTCCCAGTGGGAGTCGCTCGGCGGGGGGAGGGAGACCCCAGAATGGGAGCCTGTCACATTTCCCCAAATGATGACACGAAGATTGTGGTTTTCGCTCTCGGTATCAAAGCGAGCATCGGCGTACAACGGGGTCCACTGCAGAAGACGTGGCTCGTACAATCTGTAGGAGTCGGGGAGACAGTTCGAGAAAGGAATCTGGACGGCGTCGGCAGGTCGAGTTGTTAGAAGGAGGCAAGCCAGGACGAGCAGCAGTGCCCGGCCAGGCAGAGCGAGCAGCGGCGGCACAACGCGGAGCCACGGGCGGCTGTGCGAGATTAGAGGCATGTCGAGCGAGGGTACATGGGCTACTTCGCGAAGCGAGTGACGAGGTGGCCGACTTGGGGTTGAGGAGGTAGAGCGAGAGGATATCATGGCGAGCGATGATGGCGCAGAGGGGTGTTTCCCATAGCCCCCGCAGCCGGACGATGGCGGTGGTGTGGTTGGCAGTACCGGTGCCGATGCTGCATGGCGTGGAGGAATTCGCGATGGCATGATCCGACCGGTGGACGAGACGTGCGAGTTGTCGGCGTGGAACGTCCCCGTGGGAGGCAGAGTCGGAATCGGAAACCCTCACGAATGTTCTCTTAGGGCCTCGGCAACATGTTGATCTCGTGTGCGACAGACAGCTCGATAGGATCAGGGGATCGTCGTGTTGCTGAAGAACGTTTGCCTGTCGGAGACGTCGTGTCTTTGATGGCGGGAGGTAAGAAGCGAATCGAGGATGGATGTTGAAGCGACGAAAAGAAACGAGAGTCAAGAGGCGCCTGTCTGCCTATGGAACCGCGTTGCACTGCAAGAATTGTCTACAGGCAAGGTCAGGTAAGGTACGGTAAGGTCAAATAGTGTAATGGTAGCGTCCAGAGGCACAACAACTCGACGCGGCAGAAGCTGATTGTGCAGGGGGGGGCGCAGGGGGCGCAAGGACGAGACGACGAATGCAGCTGGCGCTGGTGGGGTGACGAGTTGAGGTGAGGATGGGAAACGAGGAACGGTGCAATGGGAAAATGGGGCGTGGTACGCCCCGTTGGGATTTGACCCGGACGAGGCCCGTTCTCCACCAGAGCTGAGCCCGCCGGCCACCAGCCAGCCAAGCCAGCCAGTCTGCCTGGTAGGTCCCCTGGTCCTGCGGCGAGGGGCCCCTACCAAGGCAAGTAGGTAGATGCCTTACCTGCAAGTAGGTACCTACCTGCCTATACCCAGGTACCTTACCACAGGTGCCTACAGGGGGTGAGCTGGTGGTGGAAAGTCTGCGCTCTGCGCCTTCGTATCACCTCGTGCGATGCTCAGTCCTCAGGGAGGCTAAGGAGGCTGAGGTATATGCTCTTAAGCCCAACACCCGCTAGCGCTGGCATCGCTGGCCTTGGTTTATCATGGACGTTGGGCGGCTTCGCACTGGCCAGTCCACACAACGCAGCGCCTACTACATGTACCCAGGTACGCATCGCCTACAAACGCACCCAGCGCCACGTTGACCTGAAAACCGGACTGAGGAGAAGGGATTGGTCTTGTTTATGTGTCTTTGAACCCATCCCTTTCTAAAATTGTCTGTCTATACAGTGCATCATCGCTCGATCAATTGCCCACCCAATCCTGATCCGTCACATATCCACGCTACACGTCAGTGACACTTAGGAATTGATGAACCCCTTCTGCCCTATGACCAACCTACGTAGGCCCTCCATGGAACCGGGGCCGTAGGCTGACAGTTCGACAGAGTCATAGCGCCAGACGTTGATGTCCATCATCATGCCCCCCCAATGAGGTACTCTTGACGCGACTCCGCCTCGCCCATCCTCGAGCAAGAATTTCGCCCGCTGGCACCTACCCTCTCCCCCCTGCCTGAATACGAGCCACCAAACGTCCGCTCCCTGTGGGGATCGACCGTGGCACCAAGATGATAATTGCCCATCTTAGTGTCGATCGGCCCCCTTCTAGTGGCCGCTATTTAGGGAAGACTCCCCATTTCGTACGCCGTGGCTGTTGAGGTTTGATGGCCGCCACTCAGTCTTTGACGGGCGGCGCCCTTCTTACTATGTACGTCGCGCGCTCGCTAGGCAGCCATCCTCACGACCCCCTATTCCAGCATCCCACGTTAATCGCCCATGGGAAAAGTCTGGCGCTGTATGTTTCAGAGCGGAAAGCCTCCAATCACTTGACCTACACTGAGCACACAAAGTCTCTGGTGTCAACTGTTCAACTCATCATCTTTCTGTCCAGGAATCTGGTTGTCTCAACGCTGTTTAGACAGCGCGTCACGAAGTCATTTTGTACAGTCCACTGAATACGTATCACATGTGCAAGCTAGTGTTTCTCTACCACAGAACGGCAGCCAGCTATACGTCTCCTCTCAAGACAGACGCATATAGCAAACTAAAGATTCAGCTCTAGCTGCATCTCGGTCTCATAGGCACACTGCAGCCAGTCTGCGACCACCTCCTGAAGTCTATGCTCGGTGTACTCCTTCTCCGCGTGTGTTCTGGGCAGCCCAAACTCGATATCGCCCTGCGTGATGTATGAGTCAACAGGTTCAAAAAAGACTATGTCTTGAGCCAGGGCCTCCAAGTTGAGTGCCTTTATTTGTAGCTGCAGACTGGCCGCGTTCTCGGTCGCGGTCTCAAGTGGCAACCGATCTGATTGAAGTCTCCTTGGCGTCTTGCGACCAGACAACGCCATGGACCGTTGTCTCTTGATCCAGTACCGCCGGGGATCAACTTCCATCATGACGCTGCTCCTGGCCCTCTGTGGCAGACTTTGGCGTAACCCTGACCCACCTGAGTTATGGCGAGCAACCACATGGTTGCTCCCTTGGCAGTGATAGCTGGGTTCAGGGCCCCTCGGCAAACTCATTCGGCGAAGCGACTGCGGAACCTCCATTCCCTTGTGGTCTGTTAGGTTCCTCTCTATGATGGCCCTCGAATAGCATCTCAGTTTCGCCATTGCAAGTCGTTTCACCATATTGGACTCGTTTAAAATCCCGAATGTCACGCCGGCTGTGGGTGTGTTCATGACTGAGCTCATCGTTTTGCTTGCTCCGGCTGGTATGATGCCCCCATCTCGGCGATGCGCATCCCCGCGCCTCAGAACCCCGAGACACTTTTGGGGTGAGTTGCAACGAGTTGCTATGGCACGTTATTGCGGGCTTCCCGGAGGAAATTGTTGCCAGGGGTGTTCTCGGCAGACGATTCAGGCCAAGATGCGGTGACTTCTCAAGGCCCCCTAGGGTCAAACGCGGGCTGTTAAGATGTATTCGCTCAACGTAGCTTCGAGGGTCTCCTAGGCTTGCCTCAGGCGACTGGAGATACGAAAGCTGGTTGCGATGATTCACTTTTGAAAGTGATGAGGGCACATCGGAGTCCTGATCAGAAGGGATACATTCACGTCGGGCCTCGGCGGCATCATCAGTCTTGCTCCCGTTGGCCGATGGAACAAAAGGGTACGGGGAATGGCACCGGTTCGACACAGGGGCGATCCCCACTGCCCATGCCAAAGTCCTGTTGAATCAGTGGGCTCATGTATCCTTTGTCTGTAGCGAGGTTGTGTATGGCCGGCACCTCCACCCTCGTGCCGTTTCTTGTCCCTGACACAGCCTGGAATGGGGGACCTTTATTATTGTGAACATCATGCGATACTCGTTCTGCTGAAGAATAAGTCGCTGCGGCTTTTGCAATGGTCCAGGGTGTTCTTGGACCATTGTTCGGAAAATTTGCGCTAGAGCCTTGTGTTTGATTATCTTCATCATCCCATGAGCTAAGTGTAAGCATGCTGTACTTCCCTTCACCGCTCAATGTGCGAGTCCTCGCTGTGTTAACCTGTGTATATCGGAGGGGAACTTGACATGCCCTGTACTTATTGGTGATCGTGCGTGAATTTTGTTCCCTGGCTGGGCTTTCCTCTTCAAAGGAGGGATAAGGTCCAGAAACGAATGGCACAGAATCCCTCGAATTCATGCTAAGCTGAACCAAATTCGAGTCCAAGCTCTTACCATCATCAATAATGGTAGTAGCACCAGAAAAGCCCTGGGGCAGAGTACCTGGGGCATTCGGAAGTGTGCTGTCCACAGCTTGCTGGAGCCTTTCGTGATCCTCAAGATCCATCTCGTATTCGTCCGTAAGGAGGGGACTCTCAGGGGTCCGCTGGTTAACGTGGCTTGCACCAGGCCAATCCCTCGTATTCTTTTGTGACAGAACCAGTATCGGTGAGTAGCGCGAACATTCTGTTTGGTTCGGCGATTCGTTGTCGCCTGAGTATTCGTGAGGGGTGTACAAAGCGAGGCATAAATTGTTGATGAGGTCGAGGACCGTTTGCTCGCTCCTGAATACCACTTCATCTTTGGCAGGCGAGATGTTGAGGTCGTAGATTCCTGCCGTACATTTTATATCTACGTATAGGAACAGATCTCTTGTCGTGCAGTTGCTCGCCTTTTGGAAGAAAATGTTGATGATCTTGACTAACTTTTTAAAAATGCCCCTATCTCTGCCCATTGGTCGGGAATCGACAGAGACGTAGGCGCCTTTGCCAGCTATCTTTGCATGATCTGCATCAGGTTTCGGCAGCAGTGCTCGAATAATAATGCAATTGGGACCGGACTCGTCGTTTTCTCCCTTATTGGGAGGCGTGGTTGTTGACGCTGTCGAGTCCAGTAGCTCTGTCGAGATGGTCCTCTCAACGTACTGGCTGGCTAAGCTTACGCCAAACATCTGGAGTGTAGCTTCCCGCGGATTGAACCTCTCGCGGGGTGCATACGACCACGCAGACTTCTCGTCACCAAGGACCTTGAATGTTAGTTTTGTCTCTGGTCTCGCCAGGGCGTACGCCTGCAGTAGGGTCTTGATGCTGGCGATCGACTTTGGGGCTTCTTTGAAGAACACCTTTCGACGGACAGGGAAATCGCTGTATAAATTGCTCAACTCGACCGTAGTGCCCACGGGTGCCGAAACAGTTCTGGATACTACGGAATCGCCCGAGGAGGAGCCCAATATGAAGGAGCTTGCGACCTTATCCTGTGCTGTTCTGGTGGTGATGACGACTTTGGAAATGCAGGCTGCGCTTGACAATGCGTTTCCTCGAAAGCCCAAAGTCTTGCCACCTTTGAATTGCAATTCCTCGAAAGACCGCAGCTTGCTTGTATGGCCAGGGCGGCCCACACACTTGATATCTTCTGGTGCTATTCCGTGGCCATTGTCACGGACCTGGATTCTACCGAGGGTATTGGCAGATATGAGCACTTCGACCGCAGTGGCCCCTGCATCAAGTGCGTTATCAAGTAGTTCTTTGACAGCGGAAGAGGGAGAAACCAGAACGAGCGTGGCACATAGTTGACGGGTGGCGGCGTCGGGGAGACGGGCGATAGACATGGTGAGTGTGCCGGCAGCGCACGGCCGGCGGTAGTGATACGACTCGGATTGGCTTCTAAATGAGGACTTTGACAAGACTAACACAACATCATGTCGATGGTGTTGTGCGTGGGATGAGGCAGCAAGAATTTCTTGCAAGATATGGTGATGACAACCAAGGCGAAGGTGCCTACCTAATTCATGTATTGATGGGACCTGGAAGGAAGGAGCTCCCACGAAGCTTCCCTTTCCCAAACAAGCTCTGAACACTTGGGAGAATGGATCTAGGGTGCACCTACCCGCTCAAGCCGCTCCATGTGTCGGACTCGAAGCCAAGTGCCACCTACCCTGGCGGCTTTTTCCACAGCTGACGCCATCTGCAGTTGACTCAGTACCCCGCGGCACACCAAACTCCAACGAGTCTTCGAGCTATTGCCCCGCGTCGATGCACAACACTCAATCATCGGACAGGACCCTCCACGCCAATCCCATCACTTACCAACCAAGCCCTTGATCATCTCAACCTGAGCGCTTCCCAGCTGCATCACTCTTCTCTCTACCAGTACCACCACCGCTGTCGCCTCCCCTCCCCCCCACAACGCCATGTCGATCAAGGGCCCGACTCCCCAGGAGCACGAGGGCAGCGCGCTGCGCATCGGCATCGTCCACGCCCGCTGGAACGCCTCGATCATTGAGCCCCTCGTGAAGGGCGCCAAGGACAAGCTCCTCGGCTGCGGCGTCAAGGAGTCCAACATTGTCATCCAGTCTGTGCCCGGGTCCTGGGAGCTCCCCATCGCCGTGCAAAGGTCCGTGTCTTCTTTCTGTTTTGTGGTGCTGCTTTCGCTCTTGTTCTCATTCCCTCCACCCCGCTTCTCCCGGCGATGCCGCGCGCCATCGGGCTCCCACCTTCCCCCGATGGGTGCCCTCTCTCCATGGAAGAGGAAGCAAGCAAGCAAGCAAGCAGGCAGGCTGACAGGCAGCCACTAGACTCTTCGCCGCCTCCCAAGTCCAGTCCTCGACCTCGGGCGCCGGCTCGGCCGGCGACCTTCTCGCCTCCTCGACCACGGACCTGACGTCCCTCTCGGCCTCGACCGACGGCGCCTCGGGCGGGCCCTTTGACGCCATCATCGCCATTGGCGTGCTCATCAAGGGCGAGACGATGCACTTTGAGTACATTGCCGACGCCGCCGTCCACGGCCTCATGCGCGTACAGCTCGACACGGGCGTCCCCGTCATCCTCGGCATCCTCACCGTTCTCAACGACGAGCAGGCTAAGGCCCGCGCCGGCCTGACGCCGGGCGGCCACAACCACGGCGACGACTGGGGCCTCGCGGCCGTCGAGCTGGGCGTCAAGCGCAAGGCGTGGGCCTCGGGCAAGATTGAGTAGACTACATATCGTACAAGAGGATGAAGGGCGGGTTGTGGTTGGAAAGAGGTGTGCGTGTTGGAACCTGACCCGGACGAGCCGTTGCTCCCAGGCGGTCAACAACAACAACGACCACGATATGAGGGATAAATCTTGGCACCAGTTCAAAAGGATATTGCGAAAGAAGAAATAAGAAAAAAGACCATGCAAGAAAACTCAAACCCGCCGTATGCATCGAATTGGTGGTATCTGAACATTAGGTGAATTACTGCGTGGAAGATGCGTCTATCTATGATGACCAAATTCTTTCCCACTGACATCTCACTTCTTCGGTTTTTGTCTTCACCAGCGTCCGTCACCAGCCCAGGGGAGATCCAACAGCTTCAATCAGCCGTCAATTCCCTTTCCAATAAATCCCGATAAACGTACAGGTCCTGTGGGAGCAGATGGCGGCTGCAACAATCCAAGATTGCGCTCCTAATGAGATATTCCTTGGCCGCTTCTTGCCCGCTGACACTCTTCCCCGAATCGTAAAAGACACCCGCAATTAGCACCCGCTCGCTATTGATTAGTACGCCGACACACCCCGAGAGAGATCTCACGAGATGAAGGCGCCGAGTTCGCTGCCAATCGATTTCTTAGACCGCCACATGAGCGCCTTTTCTCACCGCTTGGCCCTCATGGCCTCCCCAGCCCCTCGTCGTCGTCATCGTCATCCTCCACCTTGCGGAGCGGTCTCCGTCTTCGGCAGCGGCGGCGAGGGCCTCTTTCCCCTGCAGTGCCTTCATCCGTGTTCTGATTCCATCCGCTGATGGCGCCGGGACATGGTTGACGTGCGGGCAAGGGTGGACTGGAAGTCGTATTCGGAAGCCTGACCTTTGGCCATGAGGCGGGAACTTGCGGAGCATGTGAGGACCGGGCCTGTAGCGGCCGGGTAAGCCCGATGTTTCTGCGCTCCCGAGGGGGCGATCGAGGGAGCATACCCTGTCCCTTGCGCGTGGATCGACGGCGCATAGCCGCCGGCGCCAGGCTGAATCCACGAGTCGGAGCTGGGCTGCACCATGCTCATTGTTCGCATGCGGGGGTCGAGCCCCATTTGAGGCGGTTCCATCATCATCGGTGATATACGTCGCCCACGAAGGCTGGCGAGAGCCACCCATTTCCGAAAGCGTAGGCATGTGGCTCATGGGGCGGCCCCCCTTCGCTTTGGTTGCCCGGCCCTCATCTGCATGAACCGCATCCTGCATTCTGCATGAAATGCCTGCATCTGCTGGGTCATAATGGACCTGGGGCCTGCTCGCCAACTGAGGATTTGCTGGAGGCATTTTGAGGCATGCCATACATCATCTGAGGGGGGGATGCCTGCTAGAAGGTTCAAATCCCGCCTCCAGGGAATCCCTTCTGCTTGCCTCCGGCGAAATGGTTGCGCATCCACATGCGGGGTACCACGTCGCATAGCGCCGGGAACGCTCTTCGCTGGCAATCACGCCAACAAGTCCTCCAGGCCGGCAGAGCGCCGGGCGATTGGGGCGCCGGCGCGCCTCCCGAGAAGTTCATCGACTCGCGAGGTGGTCCATTGACAAGACCGGCACCCACAAACGGGTCCTGGGGGAGCTTTCTGGCGAAGGCGGGCAGGTGACCTCCCTTGCGGGCGGCAGAAGGATCGCCCATGCTAGAGCCTGGTCTGCCTTGTTGGGGCATTTGCATCATGGACGCACGAATATCCGGGTTCGATGCCATGTGACTCATGCGGCTGGGAGCTCTGGCTTTGCTGGGGAACCCGTGGGCAGCGAGGATGGCCAGCGGAACCTCCTCATCCTCATCCTCGTCAGAGGTCCCAGGGGTGTGTCCTGGAGGTGGAGCGAGGCTGCCCAGGTTTGGCGTACTCAGCGAGGTGCTGATGTTGGGGCGCGAAGGCAGGGGGTTAGCGGCTTCACCTGTGACCTTCATCATCTGTTGCCGGTAGACAGTCATGTGAGCCTCTTGCTTCCTGCGCTGCTTCGCGGCCTGTTTCGCCTTCTCGATATCGTCCTCGTCGTCCTCGTAATTATCCTCTTCGTCGTCCTGCTGTTCCACTGGCGACTTACTGACAGGACCTCCACTGTTCTGTCGTTCCTTGTCTTGCCTATACCTTTCGAATTGAGCGGGCGTCATGACCTTATTACGTGGAGGGCTGGGGGCTCTCGAGACGTAGCGACTGGCGACACGTGAAGAGTGTGCCAGGCTTCCCTCGAACATGTTGTCTTCGCCCGCCTTCTTCTCTGGTGCAGTGTTCCTCCAGCTCGAGGTGCTTTCCGGTTGTCTGTAGTTTCTCGGTTGCTGCGAAGACGGCGCAGCAAAGTTGGGACTGGTGCCAAGGAAGCGACTGGCGGCCATGGAGTCTTTGAGCAGGTTGGCATCCTCATCCTCGATGATGTCCGACGGCCTCTTTGTCGGCGCGTAGCTGTGGGGAGAATCATGGCGAGGTACCGGCGGCGGCACTTGGTCGAAGAGGGGAGAGCCCTGATTGGAGTTGGCGTTGAGGAGATTGTCGTTTGAGTGTTGACTGCTCCAAGAATAAGGCGAAGCCTCGACCTTGGCCGTCTTGTCAATTTGAATGGGAGCCGGCACCAAATGGCTGGCACGGTTCTGGGAATGATGGTTGCCGCTCTGAGCGATCTTGTGGGCATCGTCTTGTGCCATCGCTCGTAGGGTCATGGCACTGTTTCGTTTGAATTTGTTGTCGAACATCTGCCCAAAGTCGCTGCCCATGTCAAGAGAAAAATCTTGGTCTTCGTGTATTTTGGGAGGGGTCGCTGTGCTGGAAGTGGATGAAGTCAATCCCCGGGGGCGGCCGCTCAGTCCATCGTGCTCCTGGTTTGGTGGAACGGGCAGCGGGTGATCATCGACGGAAGGGACGGGGGGCAGGTTCTTCTTCTGACCGCCGAACGAGAACGTCCGGCCTGCTCGATCGAGAAAGCCTCGTGAGCCGGACTTGGGAGGAGCTGGGCCAGCCATGTCGCCTTGTGACTTCTTAGTTGCGCCTTTCCATTCTTCGTGATGGCCTTGTTGAGCGAAGTCGGCTGAAGAGGGTGCAGTAGAAACGTTGCTATGGCGCGACGATGCGTCCGTCGAAGCTGTTTTGGTCGTATTGGAAGACCCACTGCCCCTTAAGCTGAGTCAGTCTAAAAAAGCCAGGCAATAAGAAGATCCCTGTCAGGATGGCGGACAGGGGGGGGATACGATCTGGCCGAGACACACATGCCGTCAAGGGTTTGTTCGGTGTAGTCAAATCTGGCCAGGGAGGACAGGCGTCTCTGGACAAGGAATGGAATGACGCAGCGGGTATTGGAAGAGGGCCAAAAAAGAAAGCCAGCAACATACCGGTTCGATGGTTTGAGGTCAGCAAACATATTGTCCTCGACGGAGCTCTGCGACAAATTTGGCTTCTGATAAACCGTGCTGGTCGTCGCCCGGCCCATGCCCATCCTCACACCACCGTCAAACGACTTGCCTGCTGACACGTCTGTTCTTTCGAGCACTCGGAATGACGATGGTTCGTTGGAGGCCACATCGACATTCTGGAAAACGTCTTCGGCGGCGGTAGACTTCCGCCTACCGAAACCGACGGAGAATCTAGGCATAAAGAATGTTGATGTTCCACGTCAATCCTACACGGATCAGGCGGAAACAAAAAAAAATTGTGTGGTCGAGCTGCAGAGTCGCGTGGCGAAGTGACAGATGCTCTCGAGGAATGAATGTCGAGCACGGGTTACTCTGTTGGAAGAGCGACAAGCTCTCGTGGGTGGATTTCGAGGTGAGTGAACGTCCTTGTCGTTTACCGGAGAATCGAGTGAGGCCAAGCGCACTGCGCGAAACGAGCCCAAAGGATTAGCTCTTGTCTGCAGGCACAGAGATGACGGCGATGGATGACCAGGCTGGAAGGGCTGTGACACTGCGAGAAGCAAAATGGGGTGTGGGCCGGTTGTGTTTGACGGGTCGGAGCGATGTCGTGGCTGGCACGATCCAGCCCAACGGATGAGACTCGTGGAACCTCCCACAAGCATATGCGGGATTGATTCGAGATGGGAGCAGAGCAACTCGGACCACACAAGGAGGAGGGATAGGGCAGGAGGGTGGTGTTTGGACGTGAGAAGTAGTCATGATAAGAAGGAAACACAGCCGCCAACGTACATTACGAAGTGGTAAGTATTAAAGGATATACGAGAAGGGCGATATCAGAACCGAGCAGACTTCATGAGGACTGCTATCGAGTTTGTACAGGCGGTGCGTTCGGACAGTGATCGGTCGGTCGCTCGGTAGGTCAGGGCGGCCACACAAGTAACGTGTGAAGTTGATGTTTGGTGGATGGTCTTGATGAGGGGACGAAGCCGAGACAAGACGAGCCAGGCGGGACGGATCGAACAATGAGCGAGCGTGTGCGCGGCGACGAGACGGCCAAGTAGGGGTTCAGAGCGAGCGAATGAGTCGGGTGTTGCGGTTGTTGGCAGACACGGCACGAGGGACGCAAAATGTATGCAGCGGTCCAATGATGGCTGGAAACCAAAGAGCGAAACGAGAGGCTGGTGGTTCTCTTTTTTTTTTCTTGTTGGAAAGGATGGGAGGTAGGCTGAGGGTCGCTCGAGGAGGAATAGGGAGGAGGAGCAGGGGCAGCAGGAGCAGCAAGCAGCAGGCAGGCCGGTGGGCGCGGTGGCGGCGAAGGCCCCTGTAATAGACCGAATGTGTGATAGGCAGGCAGAACTGGCTGGGAAGTAGGTACCGTCGTACCTCCAACGATACTCATGGACGGACGGTACGGTGCAGGTACGAATAGGTAGGTAGCCCCAGCAAAGAATACCTAGCTATGGCATTCCCAACGTGCCTGCTTCGTGTTCAGCTTGTGGGCAGTTGGCTTGTCCTTCCCACCTCCCACCTCCTACCTCCCACCTCGCATCTCACATCCCCACCCACCCCAGCACCCTCCTCTTATTATTAGATAGGTGGGGAGACCGGTCGATAGTCCACCGGCCACCAGACCCCATCCAGGTCCCAGCCAAGAAGCGCGCAAAAAGCCAAGTACTGTACAGCGTAAAGTAGTGGGCAGGTGTCCCAAGCTGGTTAATGCCCGGTTGTCCGCACCTGTTCTTCCCTGTCGAACCCGAGCCACCTCGCGTCAAGAGTCCACACCTGCTCGGCACGCGATGCCACAGCACCCTGTCGGGCTGGACACAGCGCCTAGACTGGACCTAACCCTCCTGGCCTTGGCCTTGGCCCAGCCTCCAACCCCTGGCCCCTTGGTGCTTGTACTGACCTTTCCCCTAGCCTTGGGCACCAAGACCCAAAACCGCCGCCGGGCCAGCCCAGTATTTCTCCTCGCATCTGCAAACATGGTCTGCCTGTGAAAAGCAGTTTCCGGCGGTCCGTTCACCAGCTGGCCCGCCAGCTATGCGGCCACGAACCAAAGACGCCGCCCTGCGTGTCTCGAATGGCATGATATGATGGATTGCTGCACTCAAGTTGGTGGACTGTCTATTTGTCTGTCGTCACGCCTTGTCGGTGGCGTGTCTTTGACCGACGCCTCGGGCATGAAATGCGGTCCACGCGCGGGATGAGTGGCAAGCAGTAGCATTCGGATCACGTCCAGTCTTTGACACCATGCCGACAATCCTGGGCAGCCAGTCCTGTTTGCTTCGCGGGGCCCACCTGCAACTCGCTTTTACTCCCTTTCGCTCTCTCTCCAAATCTCACATCCACCGTCGTCGCCAGTACTCGATGTCGCACTGCACTGCCCGCCGCACCGCATCTGACGTGGTACCGGCTTCGGAGGAATGTCGCCCTGTTCACGTCCCACTTCGGCCGCACCGATTGTGCTCGCCCCCCCCCCCACTCCTTTCAAAGTGGACTATCGTGCAATGGGGACTGTGCTGTGTAGTGCAGGTTCGTTTTGTTCTCCATCGTTCATGGCACAGTCATGCCTGCCTTCGTGTCCACTGCTCATGCGCTGGTCCTGGTGGCAGCGTTTTCGGAAAGTTTTCGAGGCAGAGGACGGGGTCCCGAAGCGACGGACGCACACATGAGCCATGACGTGGCGTCCGAGGCATTTGGTTCGTTCTTTGGAGATGGTCATACTGGAGCAGACGGCGCTTGCTCTCAGCGACGCCGTCTGAGGCACATGTTCCGCCGCCACGGGGACGAGAGAGGGGGGCGACACATTCGGGGTGACTTACTATTTAGTCGTTATTGGCAATGCACTTAATGCTAATCTGGCACGACGGAGATTAGACCTCGCCCAAAACTGAATATTGCCAGTGAGCCATGGCCCTTTCGTGCATTCTCCTCTGTGGATAGATGCCGGGACTCAAGCTCAATTGCCATGCTTTGGTCAGCAGCTACCATGTACTTGGTCTGATCTGGCTCGCGATGCATCCGGGTGTATTGGATGCCGCGCCATGTCGCCTCGTGCACGTCTCCTGACACGGGTGCGAGTAAGTCATCTGCGCAAAGACCCCCATCACAGGCTGAGACGCGTGCAATGGGTTTACCAGGTCCTCAGGGAAAGCGTAACGCGCACAGAGCGCGAAATGCCTGCTGAACGCTACAGGCATCCGCCTTCATCATTGGCTCCTCTATTTCTCCCACGATGCGGCGGCCGCGCTGTGCGGGTGCGGACGGGCGGGAAGCGGGAGAATATGGACAATCGATGAGGTCGTCCGTGACCTTTCACGGAAGCAACATAGGTGCCGTCGATCGCACCCAGCGCGCGGTGTCCGGGGCTGCCTGCGGTGAAACAATGTTGTTGCCGCAAGTCGCCGCGGACGAGACATGTTTTTCACGAAGTACAAAGACACTCACCGACCATTCCTTTCTACTACGGCTGCCACTGTGACGGTGGTATCGCTTGTCGAGATGTCGGCATCGCTGCTACGGTTGCTAGCTACCCTTGTAGACATGGATTACGGGTCTATATACGGGTGATGTCAGGATCGAGCATCGGTGTAGAGCGGAATGCTGGGGCGATTGGCATTCCTCTTGTCCCCAATATAGTGGGTGATGGCACACTCGTCAGCCCTGGCAGCAGACGGGCAGTCACTGCAGATCACGCACCTCGATGACAATGGATGACATCAAGACCGTCGTCTGTATCAGGGCGGTGCATGTGCTGCTGTCTGAAGCATGCTATTCAATAGTTCGAACCGGTGTTGCAATGTCGCATCCTGGCTTCGGCCATCGCTCTTCGAGGAAAGGTCGCCGTTTCCTTTTCACTCAGTCGATCGAAGGTGGCAGCCCGGCCAGCTCGATCGTACCTCTCGCTAAGCGGTTACAGGCTAGTGCAAGTGCCATCTCTTGACGAAAGTCCCCTGGATCCTGTGGAAGCTTGAACAGTGGTTCTGGCGGACGGCGCGAGAGCGGGTGCGTGTTGGGTTAGTGGGCTCTTTGCTAAGCCTCGAGCTGTCTCCACCTGCATTGAGACCACAGTCACTCAGGTTGCCAGGGGGGGCTGATCAGGCGTCTTGGTTGGTGATCAGGGACGCATGTGCTCGCATTCAATTGAGCGATGACTGACAATATGGATGCTGACCATGCTGGGCCGGCCCCTCATCCCCACGGCTGCTGCAGGGAACTATGGTGGACTGGTCGAAAAAGAAGAGCAGCTAAAAGCTTGGAAGTCCCGTATCTGCTGTTTTTCCTGTTTATCCGTTTTTTTTTGTTGTTTTTTCGGTGTCAGTGACCCATGAGACCGAAAGAATCCACCCTCACATCCACACGTCCCGTGAGACGCAGAATGGTGACTACGAAATGCCCACATTGTGCGCTTTACAGGGGGGGGGCAGGCAAGCGGCGCAGGGGATCTGCCGGAAGGATGGCACCATTAGACCACAGCCGCATCTGCCAGTTGATCCTACCTACCATGCTCCGGGTAATGTCCAGTCATTTCTGGAAACCCAGGCCAGCCTCGCTGGGATGTCAAGGATCGAATGAATGTGCTATTCAACTTGCTGGGCCTCATCGTGGGTTGAACTGCGTGGCTGGTTAGAGGGGCCCTTAGTATTTTTGCTCTAGATTGCGTCGAGATTGCTTTGGTTTGGAGGAGGCGTCTGTTGCTCTTGTCTCTAGCCACGCCCGTGGCCAGGACAAAAGCCGCCGTGGGCCAGGCAACAATGCATGTGGCTGCACGGCGGATCCAGTCCCTCTGTTCCAGTCCGGACAAGCAAATAAACTCCGCTCCGTTCATCCCCAGGTCCGAAGAGCCAGGTGGGCAATCAGAGAAATCATGCGAAAGTGACGGCAGGCTGAATGGGTGAATGGGGTCGGTCGGCGTCTGGCGGCTCGGTCATGACAGGTACATGATTTTGACTGTGAGTCTGGTCAGCAAGAGAGTCTGCTGTCCGATGCACCAGGCACCTGAGCCACAAGAGAAGTGTCAGGTCGAGTCTCCCCACGGAGGCGGATCCATGTGGGTTATTGGTCCGGTGTGCGAAGAAAAAGCTTGACGCGAGGAGCGACAAGTCTAGACCGATGATCCCCAACGTGTGCAACATGTGAAAGGACAAGAAATATCTTGGAACTCGGAAAATGTGGATTCCGCTGGAGGTGATGATGGATTTTGAGGGGATTGGATTGAGACATGATGAAATTTGTGGGCATGTGTTAGGCGTGCGTGTTGCTGCTATGTAGAGGTCGGTCTCGGTCGTTGGCCGCCCACGCTAACATAACAAAGTGGATGCCACCATGGCGTTCATCCAGCGAGGGCGGACGTCGGCCCATCTACGTAGGTAGTGCCTGGGTCCTAGCTTCTGTACGGTCGGTAGGCAGCCACTGAATGGGCCCCCACTGCCGTGTTCAAGGGCTAACCCTCGGGTGCCTCACTGGATCCAGCGCGGCATGAGCTCCCCTAAGGTACCTACCTAGGTACCTCACAGCTTGTGGCTCGCAGCACTCGCGATGGGCAATCCTGACAGGTGCCTCCTACACAGATACCTTGACGAGGCACTGAATTGATTGTTGTAAGTAGGGAGGTAGGTGTCTGAGTCCCAAGATATGTGCCTGAGACTGACATGACCTTATCCGCGTTCAAAGTGCTCTGCCCAGCCGGCGTACTTATCTGACTTGACGTTGTACGTTCAGCACTGACGCTGCTATCGGCTGCTCGGGTTGCCAAGTGGTTATTAGCATTATCCCCTAGTACATCCGATTGCAGGTGGCTAGCCAATCTGTGGCGGCTGACACCGACCATGACGAACGCAGGGCTATGTCAGATCGTGTCCATGTCGTCGCCGTTTATAGACGTGCACTTAGTCGCCACCGAGCCGGTCCCGGCCCATCACGCTACCTTGGCGCATGTTGCCTGCCTACCTGGTAGGGCTGTGGACTAATCAAAGATGTCGGCATTGGTCAGTACGAACTTACGGTGCCCATCGTTGTCATGAAGGGCTGCGGATCATATTTGTTCATACGGCATGGAAAGCTGTAACATGGGGCGTGTTTCCCACTACTAGCAAATCCCCAGCCAGATGACAAGCAAAGGTTGTGTTGGAGCCCCAAACCTGTCCGAGGCTTATCAGTGCTCAAGAATTTTCACGACAGTCACGCAAGGATCTGCTGCTATGCTGTCAACAAGAGATAAGCCCAATAGCAGCCTGGTTCTCCATTTGCTTGTCGCGCCTCAAGAGCCTTCCTACTCTACGTGAGATGAAGTTGTCGAAGGTTCAACTGCCAGGGGTTCAGCGAGGTTTGAGTCCGAGACGGCTGCTCTAACTCTACAAAACAGTCGCCCAACTCTCTAGCATTTATGGGCGTGACCTTTTTTGAAACATGTCACTTGCTTTGAGTTGATTTGCGCTGTCTATGTTGACATTATCTACTGGTCGTTAAACCAACGTTAGCCATCGTCCGACCAGAACCGAGTTGCATCAATCGTCGGGTTACTGTCAGAGCCGTGGGATGAGCAGAGTGAAGAGGTCTTACGCAGGGGATACCTACAGTCAATTGTTAGGTAGGTGTTAAGATAACATCCGAATTCGGGTCCCTTGCAGCCCTTATATATGTTCTCCCATAGCCCCAAGCCTTTGAACTAGCCCCTGCCCCGTGCTTGCGCAGCCGCCTCCAGAAAATCACCGGGCATCGAAGAAGTCTTTGCAAAACGTGTCGTAAGCTTGACGCAATATATCCAGACGCTTCTACGAGCCCCTTATTTCACTGCACCCTTCTACACAGGCTCATTACTCCAGCCAGACTAGAAGGATGTCATGAAAAGAACGGTGGATCAATGTTTAACTCCAAGCTTCTCGTTCGGGAAGATGTCGACCGAAACGAGGAATATTCCGGAGTCAGTATTCGCCACCATTCTGACCCATGCCTTGTCCTGTTCGACCTCATGACATCTCTTGGACGTAGTCTCGAGTTTGCTAGCATTGTCGCGTTCCACGTTTCTAGGCTTGGCCCATATGTTCCAACATCGGGATCTGTAGTCAGCCAGTCCGCAAAGCTACACAGATTTGGATTCCGCCCTAGGATCCAAGACAAGTATCAGCCAATGGTAAGTTCTTGACAACTTGACCGTAAAATCCGGCTCAAGCACTATTACCAAGGGCTGTAGAAAGGTCGGCGTCTTAGTGTACGGTGGATTTATTATTTCCTAATCCCCCGTCTATCCGCGGAATATTTGACTTTTAGTCTGACCTAGGCCACCTAGAGAAGTCAAGTCAGGATGTTTGACTCGTAAATCACACATTCTGCGGTCTCATCCAATCAAATGAATAGACAATCAACGGCTAGCTGAAGGTGAAACCCCCGTCTTGTAGCCACTTGTACAATGTACAAATGGAAACCCTATCGTCTTTTTAGAAAGATGCTCTTCATATACCGCACACAATGAACCTTCGATAAAGCGCTCTTCCGGCTCAGCTTTATTGCCTGGCCTCGGAGCGAATCATGGGACGGGCGTTTCTCCGCATTCAATTTCGAACACGAGAGCCTCCGGCTTCTCTCCCCAGTAAGTGTCAATTGGCCTATAGATTCCAAATATTGCATGTATTTATTTATTATTGCGGTTCTCTGCTCTCGGTCAACTTTCTGACGCCATATAAAAGAATCTGGGCGCGACCAAAACAATTAGGTTTCCGTTCTCGCCATCTATCTCGTTGTGCCCGACCTTGCATCGATAGCATGGCTAGAGGCAAACCCTTCCTGAAATCACAATGCGGAATCATGAAATAGTGAGTCCATACAATAAAGGAGTGTGAAACCTCGAGTATAGTGCCAACTGCTCAAGATACCTAGTCTTACCCCGGCCGATTGTTGGATGCACGAGCTTATCAGGGAGGTGAACAACAGTGCGACAGAGCATCAGTATCGATCAATGATGTGACATCTTCTCCCTAGATGACGAATTACAGGCAGGCTTTTAGCACGCAGTGCAAACGAAGCTGAGAGTACTAGATACCTTGCTTGGCGGGAGCAAGTAGTTATTGTCAATCAGTTTGATCACCGTGTGTCCGTACAAAGAAACGGACATCTACTTCTGTCCAGGACTGATGTCATCACATAGCTCCTTATACGAAAGAAGCATTACAGCAAGATAGACTTCAACCAAGGAAACAGAGATCACAGCCTGCTTGACACCGCCTCAAAGACGCCCTCACCTCGACATTTGCAATTGCGTCCAGGGCGTGAGCGGTCAGAAACATTTTGGCAGGCAAAGTTTCTAGACTGACAAACAATGACGACAGCACCTCAATCAACTCGACCAGTTCGTCAGCATGAGGTAGTGCCCCTCTGGAGCGTGTGGGTAGACGCTGTCGTACAAGGTGTCACCCCTCCTCGAAGTAGTAGCAAGCCAACGAGCGCACCATGAGGTAGTACGCAAGCTACCCCGCGTATCTCCACAAAGCACCACCACACCTCCAGCTCTCCAGTCACCTCGGCCTAGTCGAACATCTGTCACCCGCGCCCTGAAATGATATACACCCAACAAGGAACCCTTTGGTTTTCTAACCCCTTTTCACCAGGCCGTTACGTAGAATAGCCGCAATCGCCTTGTTCTTGTGTCTCTCAGCCGTCTACTCTTACTACCCCTTACTCCTAAGTAGATATCTTATCTAGCTACCCCCCGCATCACAGGTCGTCCCCTTCACGCCTCGGCACGCTCGTCATGGCGTCCCCAACACCGATCACTCTGCCGAACGGCCGCGAGTACGAGCAACCTACAGGCCTTTTCATCGACAACCAGTTTGTTCCAGCCTCTGGCGATGAATTCGCCATTACCAACCCCGTGTAGGTCGCTTATCTTTGGTCACGCGGCGTCTGGCTGCTCACATGACCTTCAGAACCGAAGAAGAGGCGCTCAGATTGAAGGGTGCCTCAGTGGAAGACGTTGACAAGGCTGTCGCCGCGGCACGCAGAGCCTTCAATGGTGAATGGTCCGACCTAGCCGCCGTCGACAGGGGCGCTTTCTTGTATAGACTCGCCGAGCTCATCGACCGCGACCGAGAGCTGATTGCCGCCATTGACGCCTACGACAATGGCAAGGTACGTTGAGTCTGCTCGTTTTGCCCGCAGCCTTGCTGAGACATCCGGCCCCCACTCCGCAGCCGTACAGTGCCGCCCTGGCAGGCGACCTTGACGAGTCCTACAATGTCTTCCGATACTACGCCGGCGCCGCCGACAAGATCACGGGCCGCACCATCGAGACAGCCCCCACCAAGCTGGCCTACGTCCTGCAGGAGCCCCTCGGCGTTTGCGCCCAGATCATCCCCTGGAACTTCCCCTTCATGATGCTCGCATGGAAGGTCGCCCCGGCTCTGGCCTGCGGTAACACGGTCGTGCTGAAGCCTGCCGAGCAGACGCCCCTGTCGGCGCTTTACTTTGGCAACCTCGTCATCGAGGCTGGCCTGCCCGTTGGCGTTGTCAACATTCTGCCTGGTTTGGGGCCTGTCGCGGGCAAGGCTCTTGCCGGACACATGGATGTCGACAAGGTGGCCTTTACGGGGAGCACCAACACGGGTCGTGCCGTGATGAAGGAGGCTTCGAACAACCTGAAAAACATCACCCTCGAGTGCGGCGGCAAGAGTCCGTCCATTGTTTTTGAGGATGCTGAGCTCGACCAGGCCGTCAAGTGGTGTCACTTTGGCATCATGGACAACAAGGGCGAGGTCTGCACGTCGACGTCGAGGATCTACGTCCACGAGGCCATCTACGACGCCTTTCTCGACAAGTTCATCGAGGTCACCAAGGAAAACGCGAAGCTCGGTGACGCCTTTGACGAGCAGGTGGTGCAGGGCCCTCAGGTGTCTAAGGTGCAGTTTGACAGAGTCATATCGTACATTGAGGAGGGCAAGAAAGCCGGAGCCCGACTGCTGTACGGCGGCAGCAGGCACGCCGACAAGGGGTACTTCTTGGAGCCCACCATCTTTGCTGATGTAAGTGCCGTGACGAGGCTGGTTCATACACAACCGAGCGCATGCCTGTCTAGACATGAAACTGGAGAGAGATGCTAAGCAACAGAAACAGACCACCGAGGACATGCGCATCGTCAAGGAGGAAATCTTCGGCCCCGTAGTGGTCATCTCCAAATTCAGCAACGACGCCGAGGTCATTGCCAAGGCCAACGACACGTCGTACGGCCTCGCAGCAGCTCTGTTCACCCAAAAGATCGGCCGCGCGCACAGGGTTGCGCGCAAGCTGCAGGCGGGCATGGTATGGATCAACTCGTCAGGCGATTCGCACTTTGGCATCCCCTTTGGCGGATACAAGTCTTCCGGCATCGGACGAGAGCTGGGACAGTACGCGCTCGACGCGTACACGCAGAGCAAGGCCGTGCACGTCAACCTGGGCGTCGAGCTGTAGGCAGAGATTAGTATTGCTGGGGAAAGTATGACTGCTCATGTTGGGATAGGGCATGTCTGTAGGGTGCTTTGTGGATAAGTGTGGTAGTAGTCCAAAGCCTAGCATCTCCAAGGTAGTACCGATCCATACAAGGTTGCAATCGCGTGTCGGTTGGCGTGCTCTGCCGAGCTGTCGCAACCCTCTGATTGATGCAGTCCGGCGCTGATACTTTCGCTGGGGAGACGGTCCCGAACGCCGGTAGACGTGTCTCGGTGCTATCCTTCTGATGTGGTTGGAAAGTTAAGTGTTGAAGAATGTTCGACCTGGGACAACCACTGAGGGTGAGGGTTCGCATTGTCTTTCGAACAGAGCAGGGTCTAGACAATAAGCACAGTATTGGGCAACAGCTCCAATGTTATGGTCAAGGCAAGACTCCGAGGGTGCTGCGCAGAAGGTGACGGCTCTGGGTCTCGGATTATTTGATTTCGTAGTCCGTCGAGTTACAGGAGTGTCTTACTCCTGGGCAGATGTATAGTTTCTATACACAAGCCTTCCGTCATTCTCCTACGGAACCTCAGGATGGACGGGGGGCAGTTGTTGATGTAGCTGTGACAGTGGCCTTTCCGATACAACAAGAAATTGAGTAACTATTAAGCTTCAGTTTGATCTGCAGGGGTCGCTCACAGCCAAGACATTCAACCGTCCACAGGTGGTTTCCGAAACTCAAAGCGGAGTTGATAAAAAAAAAACACCGCGCAAGGACCCTGAGGGATTGGATCCATCGACCCGAAACCACCGTGACCGGGCATTCGCAGCGTGGCTGGCAAGTCTGGGTCAGGTGGACGGGGCTTTGGAAGATCGCCGCAGCAGCCGCCGGATCAGCCATGTGATAGAAGGTAGCACGACGAGCGGGGTCATTGACCTGAGGGTTGGTTGAAGGCCTGGTGATGCACGGGATGCACGGGATGCACGGGATGCACGGGGGGGGAGGACGACAGAAGACTGCGGTGGTAGTTGCCTTGATGATACATGGCAACTGCTGTCTGTAGAGGTGCGGCAGCTGCACGACAGCTGAGTCAGGAGGGGAAGGGTGGATTGGTAGGACCTGAGGCAAGTGGTGACGTGAATCAGGGGTCCAAGAAAGAGCGAGGGGAGCTGCACGTTCAGGAGCAGTGGGTGAGGTGAAGCTTCCCCTCGCAGCTCTCAGGGCCCTTTCTCCCTTGCCAGAGGCAGGCACCACCCCTCCATCGAGCTGGGCGGGGTCCCAATTGCTGCAGCCCATTCGTCGTTGGGCAGGTGGCCCCTGCAAGACCAGATCCAAGGGAGCTCGAATCGAAAAAAAACCGACAAAACCTGCCCTCCTCGTACCCAGACCCGGCTACACTCGCTCCCACACCCGTTTACCCTCTCTACGAGCTGCCCAAGCTGTCCAGAGCTGCCCCCGAAACTGTCTTCCCCAAAGAGACAACTAAGGCCTTGCTGTCTCCCAGCCTCTATTTAAGCTTATTTTCATCAATTGCGTCAGGGCACGACATATCAGATCCGACCCCGAAGCCCATTCCACGCCGCTTCAGAGGCCGCCCGTCATGGGGTCCTCGCGAGCTTCATCCACCACACGCGCCGTCCACGCCGAGACAGACTCATACCCGTACCCCCTCCACACTCGTGGCAACGGCACCTTGGCCACGCTCATTCGCAACCGCTCCACTGCCAGCATCCGCGACGGTCATCCTCAGTCGCCTCGACTACACAGAGGCTTCCACCTGCCGAGCGATGACGAAGACGACGAGTCGGACGCTTCCCGGCTGCTGCCTCACAGGAACTCGGACGATGGCGGCCGACCGCGTCGCCCGACGGCCGAGGAGCGCCGCCTGAGCCAGATGATATTCAGCCCTCAGATGAGGAGCATGCGTCTCATCGGCAACAGCAATCCCCGTTATCAATGGGATCGTTACTGGAAGACCCAGGAGCAGCTCAGGGCCATGACCAAGCCTTTGCGCGAATATTATGAGCGCAACAACGACCTCATCCGCATGTACCTCTACATCGACCAGCTCCTCGACTCCTCCGTGCCTCATGATCTTCTCAACGAGTACTCCGAGTCCCTTGATGCATCCGCCTTTCGTCCTGTCGACGTCCCGGGCACCATTTCCGAGGAGTCGCCCACGCCTCTCTCATCTTCTCTTTCTGCAGCTGGCCAGCTCGGAGCCGACCCCTCGGGGACACCCACGCAGCTCGGCAGTAGTGCCGACGTGAGCACGAGCGCCGACCTCTCTTCCGCCGACAGCGCCACCAATATCAACGGCAAGAAGCTGCCGCGCCGCAACCCCAAGGACATCTTCAAGCCCACCGAGTCGACACCGCTCCTCGGCGGTATCAACGATCGCGACGAGGCCCTCTACGACGAGGAGGAGGCCCGTCCCTTTGCCGCCGACAGTGATGACTACCCCAAGCCCGAGATTCCCTGGCTCGAGGACTCCGACCTCGACAGCAGCGACCCCATCGTAACCTTGGCCATCTGGGTTAACTTCCTTGCCAATGCCATTCTTCTGCTTGGCAAAGTCGTTGTTGTCCTCTCCGTTCCCTCAGTCTCCGTCCTCGCCTCTCTTGTGGATGCCATCCTCGACTTCCTCAGCACCGCCATTGTCTGGACTACCACTCGCCTTATCGCCGCCAGCCAGAATGATCAGCACCGATACCCTGTCGGCCGCCGTCGTCTCGAGCCCATCGGCGTCCTCGTCTTCTCCATCGTCATGGTCGTCTCCTTTACCCAGGTCGCTCTCGCCGCTATCCAGAAGCTTGCCTCCCCCGACCGCACTATCATCGAGCTCGGCATTCCCGCCATCGCCATCATGGTGGGCACAGTCGTCATCAAGGGCGCCTGCTGGCTCTGGTGTCGCATGGTCAAGAACTCTTCCGTCCGTGCCCTGGCCGACGATGCCATGACCGACGTTATTTTCAATACTGGCTCCATCTTCTTTCCCATTGTTGGCTTCTACGCCAAGATTTGGTGGTTCGACGCACTCGGCGGTCTGCTTCTGTCCCTTGTCGTCATCCTCAACTGGAGTCAGACCTCCATGCACCACGTCCGCAACCTGACGGGTTTCTCTGCCACGTCCGACGAGCGGAACTTGCGTATGTCTCTTCCTGATTTCCCCTCCCAGCGGCAGTGATGCTAATGACGACAGTCCTCTACCTGACGATGCGCTTCTCCACAGCGGTCAAGCAGATCCAGAACCTCCGTGCCTACCACGCCGGTGACAAGCTGTTCGTCGAGGTCGACATTGTTCTCTCCGCCAACATGCCCCTCAAAGACAGCCACGACCTCAGCGAGGTCATCACATACTTCCTCGAGTCGGTGCCCATCGTTGACCGTGCTTTCGTGCACGTCGACTACGCCACGTACAACCTCCAGACACACATCAACAAATAGTCCTCTAACATCTATCCAACCGTCTCATACTTTTGATTTCGATTTCTGGTTTCCCTAGCAAGAAGGAAGCATATGCATACCCAGGCCTTGCGGCATCACAGGACCGCCTACCGGGGTTGGTAGCGGGAAAGGTGGCGGTCAAGTCTCATTTGTTCAGCAAGCGGCGTGGTTTCATAGATGGTCCTGTACAGGCATGTGCGTACTGGGGCCACAACTTTTCAGAATAAGTCGAGGCTGTAGGCATACCATCTATATATGTATTGTAGTAAATGCAGTGTAAGCCCCACATGAACGATGTCCATCCATCTCCTCCATTAGTAGGGAATTCCGTTCGTCAGCAGCTGGAACTGGTCGTATACGCCCGTCGAGTAGCTGCTGGCGCTCTTCTTGATGAGGTCCTTCATAAACTCAGCCGCCTCCCGCTCGCTCTTCTCGAGCACGAACCGCTGCCTAAAGTGCTTGACCGTCTCCGGCTTGAAGCACGGCAGCCCGCTGTCCATCATGAGCAGGACGATCTGGCTGAGCTTCTCGCAGTACTGCCGGCTTGCGAGGAAGGACTTGACCGTCAGTTCCTCGAACCACTTGAAGGCCTGGTGGTCGGCGCCGCCCATGACGGCCATCATCTCTGTGGTCAGCTTGAAGGGGGCGCGTTCAAATTTGATGCCGCCAGGCGCAATGTCAAAGCAGAAGCCGAAATCAATGTGCAGGATGTGGCCGGCGTCGTCGATCATAATATTGCCATTGTGGCGGTCCTTGAACTGTAGGAGGAACGAAATAACTGAGTAGGCCGCCATGCTCTTGACGAAGTTGGTGCGCGCCTTTTGATAGCGGAGTGAGTCCTCGTTGCCGTACTTGGAGATGAAGTAGTCGTACAGGCCGTTGACCGCCTCGCGGCCAAGCATGTCGCGCGACACCGAATTGGGGAGCACCTCAATGACACCGCAACCCGGCGCCGTCGCTGTGACGCGGTTAGGGAATACATAGACGTCGAGGCCCACGCTTTGGAAAATGCCTCGGAATGCGGCGATCATCTGCAGCGCGAGAACGTCCTGTCGACAATCATCGCCGACCTTGAAAATGACCGACTGCCACACTTCAACTGTCTGGTTGTCCTGGGGTTGAGCAGCTTGCCGGCCGACCTCTTCGATCATTTCTTCGCTATCAACGGCAATGGACTTCTTTGCTTTCTTGACACGGAAAGTTGCCATGTACGGTGCCTTGGCATGGCTCTGCAGGGGTTTGCCCGACTTGCGGTCGATGCCAATCACAACGCCATCTGAGCTGATGGGCAAGTACACGCCCACGTCTACCTTGATCTTGCGGAGCTCCTCCTCGATCTTCTGCGCCTTTTCCGGCTTTGGCCGGCTGATGAATGGCTTAAGCTTGCCCGATATACTGGTCACCTCATCGAAGAAGGCAAACTCGCGCAGGTAAAAGTCGCGGTCAGCGTCACTGAAGTTGGCCACCATCTTCTCTTGAACCGTGTCTAGGGTGGGTTTGATGTCATCAGGCTGTATCATGTTAGTTCAATCTCTTGCATGCGCACAAACACAAATCTTACAATGGTGCCGCTGTCGTCCTTGTAGGCGTTTGCCTTCATATTCCAAATGATCTGATGAGCGAACAGTTGAGAGAACTTTGCAGTCTCCAGAATATACCGCTCGACGTAACCCAGAGCATCGTAGCGAAGCGCTTGTCCAATCTGAGGGATGTAAAAAGAAAGTGAACTCCCTCCGAGTGAGAATTCAGGGCCTTCCTGGCGGACTGGGTCATGGATGGGTTGGTGCGGGAGGGAGGGGAAAAATAAGTGGGTGGCGGGATCCGGGTCAACGGGGCCCAGAGAAGCAGG